ATGTAACTGTTGCTCTCAGTTTTCACTCTGTAAGAACAGTTTGTTTTGCAAGCTCTCAGAATTCTGCGACTTTTGCAGTGTCTTGTGGGGAAAAATCTTCCATCAAACAAGAAGCAGATTTCTTCCTCAAGTTGCTTGAGGCTTTTTTTTTCATTTCTTTTTTTCCCCACCCCAAATGTGTGTCAGATGCTTGGCATTGTGGTGGGTTCCTATCACAGGGCTCGATTCCTGCAGTAGCAACAGCGGGCTCATGACCTGTAGGTCTTTGGGTGTTTTCAGTCTAAGGGTGCTCAATGCTCTGCCCCTACAAAAGAGACAAAGTTGTTGGGACTTCCCTTTACCGTATAATAACAAGTCACTGGTGCTACGCAGATCTCTTGGTTAAACCTGGTGAGCTTACTGAAGCTGCTGAGCACCGCGGTTCCCATCATCTGCTGAAGTGGGTGTACTGAAGGCTCTCGCAGTTCTTTTCACCCTGCTGTTCTCCCTCCAGAGCGCGCAAGATCCCCATAATCATCCGTCGTTACCTGCCGGACGGGAGCTATGAAGACTGGGGTGTGGATGAGTTAATTATCACAGACTGATCAGCCTCCAGCCGTTGTTTTTTCTGCTCTTTCCTTCTCCAGAGATGTTTCTATTTTTGTTTATATTTGTGTAAATAAATTATAAACCTCCCCATTTTAAATTTAATTGTCTATGTGTGTTTTTTAGCTCCCACCTTCTCTTTCATCTCAGTCCTATGTGCCCAAATGAAGGCTTTCTTACATCTGTCTACCAGCTTGCTCATTAGTCTTTCTTTCTATGTCATGGAGGGCTGTATTAGTAAGATTAGGGAGTCCAGTGCCATGCAGGTTTTTTTTTTTCCACCTGTGAAGGCCCTACCTGTTTGCTGAGCTAAAGACTACAGGAACTTCTTCCTACTTCTGCCTGGTTGTCGGACCAATAGCCAATTAAACACCTGCTGTATAAAAGTGCTTTTGCAGGTGCTTTGGCCTCAGAAAGACTCTAGCCCTCCACTCTGTCCCTTCTTAAAACAAGAGTGTTGGGACACCTCGGTTGCTTCCCCCTAGACAGTTGGGTCTTTGTACCCTGAGCAGGTTGCTGTGGAAACCCCCAATTTCCTCTCTGGCCAGGGCTGGCTGTGGGACTTCTCAGGAGTATCAGTAGAGCAGCTCTCATCAAATCACCTATTGTTTCTCTGCTCCTGCTGCTTATCAGAAGTGGGGATCCCCTTTCAGTGGCGCTGCCCCAGCCGGAAGCACAGTCACCTGCTCACGATCCCACCAGCTCGGCAGTTGTGGGTTGTTGCCGCGCTCGCTCTTCACACAACCGTTCTCTGCCATGCAGTGGAACCAGTGGTCCCAGGTGTGTGGGTGCTCTCCAGCCCTCTCAGTTGTACCTGCTCTTGTGGTTCTTATGGTGGCACAACAGTAGTTAAATCCTAGAGATTCTTCAGTCTGTAGTGTGATGAAGGGTCAGTCATTTGTCCCCTTCAGGTACCTGCACTCTCGCCGCTGGTGTGCACAGAGGCCACATGCCCAAGTCAAGAGTTGTGTGGCTCCATTACAACCTGCAAGAGCTTCCAGCCAGCCACTACCTAGTTTTCATTTCTTGATCTGTGTGCTCCAAGGTTCTTCCTCTGTGTAAGGAAGATCTGAGCTCTTGAGCAGAACACACTGAGTCTGTCTCAATTATCTTATTAAAAGAGTGCTCTTGTAATTTTTTATGGGTTTTTTCTTAAAGGGAAGAAGAGGGAAGGAGCACCTCACCCATGGTTTCTGCTTTAGATTGATCTTTTTCGCTTTGGTCCAGGAAAGATGATTGCAGCTAGTTTGTGTGAAAGCTTGTGCTTATTTAGAGAGTGTGCATTCTCCATCCTGTATGTGCAGTCGGTGCCTGCACATGAGCATCCATGTCCCAGAGGGAGTTTGTATCCACCTGCCTGGGAATTCAGCTCATATAACCAACTGTGAATGCTGCTTTCTGTAAAAGCACCAGTCTGTCTTTCCTCCTTTTTATGCATGGGAGGGGCTGGTTTTGGAGGCAATAATGCAAGAGCTGAATGAGTCCCTGGGCAAAATGACAGGTCAAAGGGAATGAGGAGATGCTTGCAGGTGTGGGAAGGGAGTGGACTGTGAGGACACAGAAACGCTTCCTGGTCCAGGCCACCCTTACCAGGAAAAGGTTAATTTGCAACTCTGTGGCCTTCAGCCTTCTCCCCCCACCCTCCATGGAATCCTTTAATCACGTTGGTGTGGTGAAATTTCAGCCCTGAAATGGTGCCTTTGTGCAATCTTTTTGGCGTCTGCCATGGAGCTCGGGGTCGTTTTCTTGTCCTTTTTTTTTTTTTTAAATGGCTTCTTTGTTCCCTACCCACCTCCCCTCCCCAGCCCTTGCATCTGTATCAGATACGATTAAAGGGATAGGGAAGGATGCCTGGCCAGCTCCTGCTAGGCTACAGGAGGAGCAGTTAACCCTTCCGTTACCAGCGGCATTCTCAGTCCTGTCCTAGTTGTGAGGACCCTCCTAGATGAAAGAAGGCAGCCTCTTCCACTAGAGAATGTTTGAGGCAGAGCCCACTTCCTTTCTTAATTTGCTTTTCTGAAAAGCTGGAGGAGAGTACATGAGCCTGGTTAATAACTTTCTTTTCCCACTCTTCCCTTCTCTTCTCCCACATCCCTTGTCTCTCCACACCACATCCCTTGTCTCTCCTACCCCTGTAATCAGCTGTCCTACCCTTAATTCCCATGTGGCTTCTCTTCCCCACAGGTGACCTGCTCAGCACTGCAGTAGTTCCCTTTTGGACTCTTCCCACAGCCTCTAATTTAGGGTGGAGATTTCTCCTCCTCTCCAGTGAATGGCCACAGTCCTATTTTGCCTGGAGCTCTTGAGCTGGCATCACCATTCTGCTGCTGATACTTTTGGCCCTATACAGGACTTCATCCAAATACCGCTGTGAGTTTAAAAAAGCTTTGAATGTGCTCCACAGTTCCTAGACATCCTCCTTACTCTACTCACCCATAAAGTATTTAGTGAACACAAAACTCAGTGGATCAATCACACGTGTCAGCACTGAAACCCTTTGGAATCAGTTTGTAGTTGGTGTGGAGTCTCTGTGTTAATTTGGATCCTACCTTGTTACCATTGGCCTTGAGAGACAAGCAGACCAATACTTGCAGTACATTTTCTTTCCCAATGTCTTCAGATAACTTCTCAGGATCTGACTACACCCAGGATGTCTTCTTCAACAAGTGAGAAGGGTGTATACATTTAGTACTGAATACATTCTCTGGGTGTAAGTGTTTATATATTTAGGTTCTTGCTGGTGAAAGGCAAGAGACTGGGGTCTTGAGTTTCTACAGAAAAACTAAAGGTTGCTTCCAAAACACACAAGTTTGTGTATGTGGGGAAGTTTTGGGGTTTTTTTTTGAAGGTAAATCGTCTGTTACATGTTGATGAGGAACCAAGACAAGAAACTGCATGCTCGTGTTCTGGAGAGCATTAACAATCGCGCTAAGAAATTCTTGGGTGAAGCACATGCAAAACAGCGTTGTTCTTAATTGCACGTGCTGAGCCTTGAATGAAGAGCAGAAATCAATGTTACTGCACTTCTCACTGAAGAAATGACTGGAGCTGGGGTGTGAACAGAAGAGGTTTTCATCTCTGCGAAGGAGTCTGGTAAGCCAGTCAGAGCTCTGCCTGTGTCCCCTTCATGGCAGGCAGAGGAAGGCTGTGCACAGGTTCTCTGTGGTGTGACCCATAATACATTAACTGGGGGCAAAAAAACAGAGACTTGTATAAAAGAGGTCAAAAAAACCCAGACACATGAAAATGAAACTTTTAAGTTTATTATTCCGTATGTTTAATGCAGAGTTAATGGTGCTAGGACAGCATAAAGACTGGGGAAAGGGAAGTGGGGGCGGAAGGTGCTACTTGCATAAATAAGGGGACAGGGCTGGAAGAGGTTACATGCATACAAGGAGCAAACATTCTACATGATCTTTTCAGACACCACAGGGATAAGTCATCCATCGCTAAGGCGGGCTGGAAGGGCATCTGACAGTCATATCAGCAGAGGGGTACAGTGGCACTGATCACAGTCCACATTTGGTCAAAGTATTTTATCTTTCTAGACTGAAATATCCATTGGAAGGTCCTACAACATGTCTCTGCGATCAATTGCCAGGAGTCATCTTTTCCTGCAGCAACTTTTGTGCCAATTCACTCCCTGGCATGACAAACCACCCCAGTCCTGGAGGTGACAAAGGAGAAGTAAGCAGACTGTCCTCAGGTGTTGGGCTGAAAAAAGGAGGTTGATCTGACTGGTCCCTTCCAGTTTGAAACTCAAAGGGGAAAACAAATTCCTTTTCACCTCTATAGGCTTCTCCACAGTCATCCGAGATTGGGTGCGTATCTACCTTGCTTAAAGCTGAAGGAGTATCTTTCCATCCTCAGTGTAGGCAGGAGGGAGGTGTTGACTGACTGGAAGACATGACGAACAAACGAGCAGGGATGTACACCCCATCAGCCTGAGCTTGGAGTGGGGCTTCAAAGGGAGTCTTGGAATCAATGTGGGGTGTTGGCAAGTGCATAGTGGCTTTCTTGGTGCCTTTTCATTTCAGGCAGGCACAGTGAGACATGGAAGAGCAAGGACCAAGTTTGCTCAGAGGTTGGTTGGGTTACTGAAGAGATTAGAAAAGACTGAGATGCCAGAAATGCCAGACATAAATGAATGATACAGAGTAATTGTAAGAAAGAAGGATTCACCCACAGCACCTTAATGACTCCCTAATCCTTCCCCACCTCTCCTGCACCTCCATACGTGAACACACATGTGCACACAGGCCATGATATGAGTAGCACTAAGACCAACAATGCGGTTCCTGAGCCCTACATGTTGTTCAGGCAAGCCTTAAAATCTCCATGCGGGAAAGAGAGTGGGATTAAACAGAAACAAGATGGAAAGAAGAGGCAGGGAGAAAAGCTAGGATGCAGCTATGGAAATCAGCAGGGGAGCAGACATAGGTTGGTCTTCCAATGGGGTTCAAGACTCGTGCATGTGTGAATCAGGCAGGACTGCTGCACGACGCTGATCACAAGGAAGCCGGCTGTGCCGTCCTCCCTACTACTCCTCCCATAACACATTCACCTAGGCTGAATGACCACCCTCTACCCACAGCAGGTGACAAAGTGTTGTCCATTGTGGCCCGTTCAAAACACTTGCTAACTTTCTGGAGCAGTTCGGTGAGGGGAAGGAAAGGACAGTCTCATCATACAGTCCAGGATGTGCACAATGAAACCCACCACAGACCAGTCACTCCATGTCTAGAATCCTCCTCATCTAGAAGGCCAATAAAGTCTTGCAAGCCAGTTGCGTGGCCTGCGTGAAATTGGTAAAGGGCGAAAGGACGAAAAACCTTCCTCTAGGCGGGTGAGCCAGCGATAGCCAGGATCAAGAAAGGCACTTCTGCATACTCAGTGGGTTCTGTTGGCTGGATGGCACTGAGTGACCTCGGAGTTTGGAGGCTCTTCTGCCTGTGCTGATTCTTCGGAGCCTTTCCGTCGCTGCTTCGGTCACGGTTCCCCATTCCCTATGGTCTGGAGAGAGTCGTATACACAGGCTGTTCCCAATGTGTGGGGCTATGAGACTGTGGCACGGAGGGTGTAGTGTCAGAGATGGCAGTATAAAGGGGACGTTGGGAAGGTCCCATGTAGGAGAAGGCAGAGTAGAGGCCAGAGGCTTGGGTGGAATGGCTGTAGTAGGGTCCTGAGGGCTGGTGGTCTGGGTAGTCAAACTGTGGCCTGGAGATGGAGGGGAAGGCCGAACCGTAGTGGGGCAGACTCAGGGATGTGTAAGCTATCTGGGAGGTGGAGGGCTGGTCGGTGTAATGACCTCCAGGGGCGGACCCTTCCGTTTTCACCTGCGCCTTGGAGTCCACCACTGATGAGGTGGCAGTGGACAAGGAGACTCCATGCTGCTTGGAGATCCAGGCGGAGTGTCCGCTGGCTGCAGCCAGGGCACTCCCAAGGCCATAGCCAGCAGCTGCTGCGTAGCCCCCAACATGGCCTGGGTGGCCGGCGTGTCCGTTGGGTGGCAGATATTGGTCAAATTCATTGACATCAAAGGTCTCCATGTTGGACATCACTTCGTGGCTGATCTCCCCAATGTCCACATTACCAAAATCAATGTGTGGCTTTCCCCCTTCCCCCAGGGAACGCCCTTCTCGTTTGGAGTCGGCTTTGCCTGCCTGTAGATCAGTCTTAGGGGTGGTGGGTGGGGTAGGGGGGCCGTGGCTCTGACCTGCAATGTGAAAAACATTTTGAGGAGGAAAGAGAGAGAAGAGGTGAGTTATCACTTTATGCCTGGCTTTATACACAGCCCAGCTCCCGCTTCTCCCAGTATGCCAGCAATTGTCTTGCTGGGGACTTCAGTGGAAGGAGAGAGAAGTGGCCAGCCAAACCCAGGCCTTTTTATATCATCTTGTGAAAAAAAAGGAGTGTGCATTGATACCTTGCCTAACAAGAGGAATACAAGTGCCTGTGAAACTCAGGCACGTCCCTATACTGCTGACTCCAGCAGAGTTTGTTGGGTCATGAGCAAGGCGTGAGCCACATCGCTAAGGCTTTCACTGTGATGACTTGTCTTTTTTGAGCCTCCAAGTTGGTTGTAACCTGTCAGTAGGTTCACAGAGACCTGGGACTCACCTGAGGAGTGTTCTGGATGACCATCAGACATGGGCGACCCTTCGCCAGGATGTCTGTGATCCAGGTGGGCGTTCTTGTAGTGGGCCTGGATGGCAGCAGCCCCACCAGCCTCCCCCTCCACCTGGCCTTCACCCTCGCCCTGCGTGGCCTTGCCGTTTTTCCGCCGGCGGGGCTGGTACTTGTAATCAGGATGGTCCTTCTTGTGCTGCATCCTCAGCCGCTCTGCCTCTTCGATAAAAGGCCGCTTGTCGCTTTCGTTCAACAGCCTGCAGAGGCCACGGTAGTAAAGAAGAGGAGAGGGGAAGGAGAGAGGGAAGTACGTCAGAAAAAAACCCCACCTATACGCAGCATCACGGGACACAGTGTGTAAATCCAGATGTCACGCTGTTGCCCCGTTGAGGGTATTTCCAAGAAAAATGGGGAGACCAGTGTTTTCCTTCTCCTCATTAATTATTAAGCCCTGACACTGGCTGGTGCCAGCACTGAGTCTCCTTTCCTCAGCTGTGTGATGTTTCTTACTAAATTCAACGCCCTCCTTCACATTGACTAAAGGCAAAGTGCAGTCTCTCATAGCCATATAAAATAAGGCTGGACAAGCTGCTTTCAAAGACTTCAGGCAAGTTAAGGGCAGTTGGGATGATCCCTTGGCCTAAGGCACTGTGGCACACCCTCGCCGCCTATCGTGCTGCCTCCCACATGTCTCCTGCTCTTCTCCAGACTGTGTTCCAGTTTAACCTCCCACCCTCCCATATGCTCTGAATGAAGTTTGAGGCTCTACTGAGCACAAATGGCAGCAATTGGTGTTGGCTCCACAGTACCCGTGTTTCTGCATGGAGCTTGCTGGGCCTTTAGCATCTTGCAATATCCTAGAAAGGAATTAAAGAAAATTTTGAAGTGGGCGAAGCAATGTATTCTGCTATTTCTGGAGCCTCTGCTCACTTTAAACATGGATAATGCAAAAGGCTGAAGCACAAAGGACCAACCCTTCTTGAACTTAGCTGAGCAGTTACAGAAAAGTTAGCTTCTCTGTTGCCAGCCTTGTAGAAATGGGCTTTGGTCTCTGGATTAAAGGCATTGCAGAAATGTAAGCTACTTCTCTTCCTGACAGATCATGGGCTGCTCTAGTTCAGCTAGATTTTCTTAGGAAATGGTGAAATGTACAGGCAGGATAGCTCAGAGCACCTGAAGATGAGATCCATCTAATTGCTCAAGCCTTTAGCAGTGTCTTGGCTGCAAGCACTTCAGGCTCATTTTATGATTTTTCCCCTCATACATTCTTGTGACTCAAGGTCATCCTGATTCCAACCAGAAACCAATGCTCTCAGAAGGGACCGGTCTTCCGATGACTTGCAATTCCAACAGCCATAAGAAGTGGCAGGGCTCCCAAACAGCAAAAAATATTCCATTTATGAGATGTCCATGCCTTTTTCTCCTGAACAAAAAACTATCTGGAGATGGGGCTGTGCCAGCACTTTGGTACCCCTGAAGCCCTTAGCGCTAAAATGTGACAAATTCCGTTAATCTGTAGGCATTGAGGAAGATACAAAGGCCTGAAAAAACGAAGATGAAGAAGAGGCACGGTTTAAGGAGCACACAAATAAGTCTGGCAGGGGATTAAAGGGGACACTAGCAGTTAATGGGTTGGTTCCTGAGCATCCCTTTTCCCCCTGCTCTTGGTTCATCCTCATGGCTGGCAGCCAGAAGGTGAGTGACACGAGCTGGAGCCCATTATGGTGCTGACCTGGGTTCACTCCAGGCAGCCTGAGCAGGTCGTGGCCGCACACCACATTCCTCCACTGCCTTAATCCCGGAGATTAAAGCAACTGAGCCACCATGAATCCAACACCAGCTTTCCTGTCTCCCTCCGCCACCATACACCACACTCACACGTCCCGGAGGGCTCTAATCCCTCAGCCTGCGCTGCTCCATACAGACCTCCAAGGAGTCCAAAGGGACATCATGGCCAACCTTCATAGACATTGTGGACTGGGAGGTGACCTTGCATTGGCAAAACCTTCACCCTTGCAGAATGTCCTATCTCCATGGGAGATGCAGAATAAGGGTAAAACCTGCAGCCTCGCGTCTTGGGACACTTCACTACAAGGCAGGCAGGCTCTGGCATCGCAGCACTCCCAGCCCAGATGGTGGTAAAGCTATGAAGATGCTGTTGTTGGGAATGAAAGGTCTCTTTCTACGTGGGCACCTCTCAGAGTGAGAGGCCTGTAGGCTGCACAGCCAGCTTTGATCTGCACAGTGAGCTGAGAGCAGAGCCTCCCATGGAGACTAAAGCTCAGCCTCCCGGGTATGTCTCGTGGATGGCATGAACCAGAGCTGCTCGAGGCGCTGCAGAAATCAGATCTCTGCCTTCTGAGCCATGCCCAATTCCCTCACCTCCTCTCCCCTTGACAGCAACCCATGGGCAAGTGCCACCAGCAGGACAACAGCAAGTCCACTCCCCGCATCTTTGTCTTCTCCTTTCCGGGGCTGCCTGCTCCCTCCTCCCTCCCGCTGGGATCAGAGCTCAAATCGGCTTTAGCAAAGTGAAACTGGTGCGAGCAGGCAAAGGCCAGGAGATTTGGGGGGATTTGGATTTCACTTGCTTCCTGCCCTCCCCCTCCTGCCCCCCACACTCCCCAGGTCGTAATGCAAAGGAATCTCGCATGGGCAGAGAAGTTATGGATCACAGAGCAAAACCCTTCATGGGGCTTAACCGAGCCCTCGCCACCCTCCCCAACACCGAATGCTCAACCCCGAGCTGAGGGGAGAGGGGGCAAGCACCCAGCGCCCCGTGCTGGGAGGAGAAAGAAGGGGTAAAATCTCTTCTGCTCGCCTCTTGCAGCCTCACATTCTGCCGCCTGGCATTACACCACGCTGAGTGCCAGGTGACGGGCTCGGCAGCCAGACCCCTGACCCGGCGCCGGGACTCAGCTGCCGATGAATCAGTGTGGCAATGAGGTTGGGCATTGGGAATGGTGAAAAGCAAGGGCTGGTGGGGAGCAGAAAGCAGCCGGATGGGCTCTCCTACACGTCTACGGTCCTGGATTTTGTGGGCATGATCCTATTCCCTGGGTGTTGCCACCCACATGCAAAGATCCCTCCATTGAGTCCCCTCGCTCCTCCCTACAGAGCCTTCCTCCCCTTCTTCCCATGCCTCACTTGGTTTTGGCCCCGGAGGTGGTGCTGGCTGGCGTTTTGGCTGAGAGTCATGCCGACATTTTCAGCAGCCGGCCTCCATTTCAGAGCTACTCCCTGTCCCATCCCTAGGAAGGAAAGAAGCCAAGGCAAGATTTCATGACCCTCAAGCACAGAAATCCTCCTTTCTTTTTCAGTACATTTGGTTTGTCGACTGCACCCTTCATACCAAGTGGGTACAAACTTGGGGAGGTGGATGGGGCCATAATTCTCCCAGCACCACACTTGGGGCCAGGTAGGTAGCACAGCTATCAGAGCATGTCCTGCAGCCCTTCCCAGCAAGGGCTGGGGCCCATGAAGCACGTGGCGGTGGCACAGAGCTGGAGCAAATGCTGAGCTTAAATAATAAAACCCCAGAACACTGCAGCCGCTTTTGCAGAGAAGCACACGGGACAGCACTGAGGTTATTGCTCGATCTAGCTCCCTTTCAAGAAGATTTTCCCAGCCTCTTCCATCTCGTCCGGTCACTGGGGTCATGCTCGGTTTAATGGTGGTCTGCAGGCAATCTCCATGCTCACTAGCACTTGTCTCTCTGCCTAATGTGCCCTTTGCCTGTTAAGCACAGAGCAGCCCTCATGGAGTATGTCATACCACATCCAAAGTGCCCAGCCATGTAGGCTGTAGGGTCTGGGTGGCCGCCTTGTAAGGGTGGGGAGATACATGAACAGCCAGGGCCCTTTACAGGGACCCTTGTCAGCTGTTGGAGACTAAGCCATGCAGAGCAAAACTCAGCTGCTCACGGTTGTACCAGTATGGGACAGTCTAGATGAGGGCAGTGGGAATCTCACTGGAGGAAGATAACATTCTGTGATTCTGTGATTCTGTGGAGATGAAACAATACTGTGGCTGGAAGGTGAGGGTCAGGGCTACTATCCTGGTAACCTTTGGGCCACCTCCTCTGGAGTTTTGTGGGTTGGTATTTCATTTCCAGCCTCACAGAAAGACATACATGCATGGTTCTACCCAGGCCAGACACTGACTGCATCCATAACCCAGATTACTCTGCTGTACGGTCCCTGTAGGGACTGACATGGCTTGGAGAGCCGCAGCCTGCGCTTCGGACGCTTCAAGCAAAGCAGTCAGGTGACAAACCGAGCAGCACGCAATATCCCCAGCCCTGATCCCATGAGCTTCTCTGCCTGTCACGTGTTCCTTGGCTGCTTGATGCCCTAAGAATCACCTGGGGACCTTGATCTTCCTCCTGCGGCAGCGTCCCGCTGCTCCGGGTCCCATGCAGCCAGTGGCGGGAGCTGTGCCCTGGGAGCAGGGAGGCAATCGGGTACATGAATGTGTTGACGGAGCGGGGGCTGTGTCCCTCTGCCCTCTGAATGCAATTCTTATGGAGGGTTTCACTCCTCTGCTATATTTTCAAGGGAAACATAGTGTCCGGAGGGAGGCCGTTTCTCTAGTATCTGGCAATGTTTTGCAATAAAGGAACGATACCTTGGAATGACGCTTTGGGAACAGAAAAGGTGGGTCATCCCCCCAGCCCCGCACACACCCCTTCCAGCACAGTGTCACAGTCCAGAGGCTGGCAGTAGAGCTCTGGGTAGGAGCAAGTGCTGTGGTAAAGGGAAAGGAGGGCAGAAGGGAACAAAATGGGAAAAGAATATCAGATGAGACATTCACAGTCACGCCCTGCCTTCTTGAAGAAATCTCTTTGCTGGAGTTACACTAGTCACTGACAGGTCAGAGTAATGGGCTAATCTATCAGAGCGAGAAGCTAATGCCCAAGAGCTCAGTTCTTGCAAGCAAGGAGGTTTGAAGCCAGGAGGAGACCTCAGCATCAGCTGCTGAATTGAGCATGTTTTTCTTCTGCTAGGAAAAATATCTCTTGGCCCACCCAAGGTTGAGGGCTTCCTCCACGAAATGGCGTCAGAGCAGGAGAGAGAATGAGAGGACTCGTTTGTGTGAGAATTATTTTGCGTTGGTTAGTGCAAGGTGACGGATGCGGTGGGACGGTGCTGGGGACCTGTGGCAGAAAGCCTTTATAGCAGGTTGATGGGGTTATCAGCCGAGACCGTCAGATGGGAAAGAAGTGGCATGGCCAGCCTGACATGCTTGGCTTGGGCACAACAGCTCTCTGAGCAACCAAGGGCCAGCAGCGATCAATTGGGGCAGCCTGTTGGCCTGCCAGAGAAAAGAGGAGCAGATTGGGAAGGGTACGTAAAGGACCCAGGGATCTGCATGAATACGAAATGAAAATAGGCACAACAAACAGGTAGGGCCAGAAGGATGAGCTTGTGTGTGTCGGCAAGAAGGGAGGGCATCTCTCTGGGTGCAAAGGGAGATGGGGCTTGTTTGAGCAAGTGTGTTGCAAGAGAGCCTGCCAAGGCTGGGACTGTTGCAGGTCTCTTTCTTTCTGCTTAGCCTCAGCCCCATTTTCTAGCAGAGTCTCTCCTTGTCCATCTCACTGGACCTGCATGGCCTGCCAAAACTGAGACCATCCTGCGAAGGACGGATGTGGGGCTCCGGCTGTGTGGCTCCCTTCCCTTGACTTTCCTCCTCAACTATAACTTGGCTTCCTTCTTGCTCTGAAGCACTGCATGGAAAATAACCCCTCTTGGTACTGGGACCCAAGTTTAAACAGGATTGAGGCAGCCACCACTACGTTAAGTTGGATGGGGCTCAGCCTGGTTCCTGATAGTGCAGAATTTGGCCCAACACAGAGGGTGAGCCAAGAAAACAAAATCACCCCTGGCAGTCAGGCAGAAGACCAGGATGAGAGTGTCCTGGTTGGGAACAACAGGAGAACTTAGTGGGAAACACATGGAAAGGTCTGCCGCCCAAAATGGAAATGAGCTCTGCTGAGGAAGACTTCACTACACCCAACCACCACTCTTATCCCACCGTACGCACAAACTGTGCATCCTGCGATGGTGCTCCCTGCAGGTAAGAAAGTCCCCTCAAGGGACATCCCATTTCGCTAAGTCTCCGTTCTTCCACATGACCACTAAGCCCTCTCCAGGACACCTCTGGACATCAGCCCTCATGTCTCCCCTCCACCGCCTCGCCCACTCTTACCTCCAGAGCTTCCCCAAGGTCTTACTAAGCTCGGCGTTGTGGAGGTGCGGGTATTGATCAGCCAATTTCCTGCGGGCAGCCTGTGCCCAGACCATGAAGGCGTTCATGGGCCGCTTGACGTGGGGTTTGCTCTTGTTACTTCCATTGACCCGGACGGGCATAGGTACCAGGGTCCAGTCATAGCCACTCAGCACCTGGCTGACTGCCTCACGGATGCACACTGGGAACTTGTCGTCATCCGCCTCTGAGTCTTGCTGTTCCTTCTTGACCTTCCCCATCTCCCCGTTCCCAGAACTGGTGAGGTGTGGAGAGTTGTCTGATGCCATGGAGGGTCCTGGGGAGAGGCAGTGGTGGTCTTCAGAGCCTACCGGGCTCATCTCCACCTCCGAAAGGTCTTGGTCGTCAGCCATCGTTGCTCTTGAGCCTTCACTTTCTTCCTTCTCGGTGTACTTCTTCTCACTGGGGAGGGGAGGGAGGAAGACAAAAACAAAGGAAAGAAAGAAAGAAAGAAAGAAAAGAGCGGGGAAAAGGAAAGAAAAGGAGAAGCAACCACCAGATGTGAAAGGGACTCCAAGGTCTCTGAAGAGCTGACCACGAGACAGGGGCTGCTCAATGAAAGCGCAAGCAAAGCTATTGCCATGCACACCGCAAAACCCGTGATCGAAGGGGGTGGGGATGGGTCGGGGCCCCTGATTAATTGGGATATCGCTCCCTATCTCTGCAATCATCTGAAGCTGACGTGTGTGCAGGGGCCTGCAGCAAGAGGGATAAGGAGGATTGGGGACCTGAAAACAGAGAGACATGAACCATCCTGCCTGGATGCAGCTCCCCACAGGGAGCAGGAGCCAGCGGGGACAGCAACAAAACTTGTGTGGGGAAGTACCCCTTTCTTTCAAAGACATGTTGTAAAATGACAGCACAGTGCCTGGCGAGAGGCATAGAAGGGGGAGCATCGGCACTGTATTGATAAACCAGAAGGGACCTATATCCCGACTATTGTGAAAGTTGAGCAGGCAGCACCAGAGGCAGGGAACCAGCATGGGCCCCAGATCCCCATCCTGAGACCCTGATATCATCTGTGGGAAAGTGCCTCTATAGGGACACCCCGTCCCTCACTCTCCTCTTGCGACTCATAAACCAACGGCTTAAAATACAACTACATTGCATGTCCTGTCTAGGCGTATGTACGCATATGCATATTCACATTCATATGTATATATATATAAAAACACAAACCAAGTTTAACTTTGAGACAAACCAAGACTTTAGGTTGCCTGCCCCACACACTCCTCCTCTATCCTTCTGTCTGCATTCACCTCTAAAAGCCCCTGCCGCCATGCAGCTGTTCCCCACTTTGAGAAAGAAACACTCTAAAAATAAAGGCCTCTCTATCCCCACCATCCAGGAAAAAAAAAAAATTAAAAAAGAAAAAAAAGAATTTATAGAAAATCATGCCTCTATCTTAGCTGAAAAAGAGCCAATGCAGAGCAAGGGCTGCTCTCCCTCCAGTTTCAGAGAATGACACAGACCCTTGCTGGGGAAATCAAAAACGTAAGAGAAAGTAGGGGTGAAAAAAGTGCGAGTGAATGCGTCCGCATGTGCGGGCAAGCTCAGGTAGGAAAACTTACGTTGCTGGCCAGTGTGCCGGGCAGATCCTGCGAGGGCTGTGATTTGTATCCCAATAGCCCCCCTGTTCTCCCTCCTAGTCCCGGTGGCGTTGGTGCGTGCAGCGCGGGGAGGCTCTCAGGCGAGTGCCATTCCTAGAGGGAGGCTTGGTTTTTACTAATACCCCGGCTGGATGCCTCTAGCTGGCTTTGCTGCTTAGCACCGGGGGAGGGAAGGGCGGAAGGTGGAGCCAAGCACTCCTCAGAGCTAGAATATGGTCGGTCGGGGACGGCAGGGAGGGGATGCAGGCAGACCCCCCACCCCACCTCAGCCACCGGCATGTTCCCCACTTTCCCCTGGTGCCAGCTTCTTCACGAGAGTTGATGGTGTTGGGCTGGTCTGGGTGGTGTGGCCACCCCAGAGATGGTGCTGGGAGATTCAGTCCTGGGGATTTTGGGGTGCTGGGGTGGTGGAAGGGGTCTGGGGTGGTTTGGGGAGATGGGCATGCACCCCAAGACTGGGATCCCACTCCTGCTCTCTGCTAGCATCGTTGCTCCTGCAGGGTCTGGTTCTCCCCATGTGCCAATTGAGTCCCTGGTCCCCATCACAGAGCCTCATGGTGACCCCGCTGTGCTGCAACAGGTTGGCCCAGGACCCTGGGGTCAAGCTGCTGCCAAAAGGGCATCCTCATTCAGACCTGAGTCCGCAGGGTGGGGAAGGGAATGCAGGAGGTCAGCAATATCCTGAGGATGGAGGACAGGCCCAGGGAAAATACTGTGCTACTGGACAGTGGGGACCAGTTTGAACCTTTGTAGTGCTTTTGCACCTTAAGGATGGGTTTGTCAAGACCCTTGTGTGGGGTCTTGCCAAGACAAGCAGGCTCTGTTTCCTCTGGCATACTGAATTGCTCCAGAAGGCAAATGTGGGGTCTTTCCCAAGGAAAGTGGTGTCTCCTGACAAGAAAGACTCTCTCACGCTCACTCACCCTCATGCCTAGTGCTCGTGCACTGGGACACGTAGACAATTCACCACTCAGTGGGTTAGGATATTCTCCATCATATCTTCCATTTTCTGTCTTGCTTTCCTTCCCAGATGCCTCTGGTAGATGGCTTCTTCAGTTTCCTTTCTCACCAGAGCTGGTATAGAGAAACACCAATCCTGTAGCCACAAAATGTCACTGACAAAAAAAAACTGATAATCCCCCCAGGTCCTCCTGAGAGAGCAACAAGATAAATCTACCTCCTGCCCCAGCTCCTCACTGAAGAGACAACCTGAAGATGCTTTAGTGCTAAGTCAGAAAATACAAGGAGATGAATGGATGTGACCCAGGGAACCAGCTTCAAAGGATTTCAAGAACACTTTCAACTCCAGAAACTTTGTGTTAGAAAGACCCAGCACTACATGAAGCATGAGGGAACCAGTTCCAAGGGTGGTGTGAGGACCTGAGCTAAAACCCTCAGAGGAAACCTAGGGGGCTGGCTGCTGCCTTTGCAGGCCTGGCTGACATTTTCCTGCACATCTGAAGTTGTCTGGAGTAAGTAAAGCTCTGAAACCATAGGGTGGCTGCAGGGAAAACCTCACCAGAGCCCAGTGCGAAGTCTTTACCAAGCTGGGAAGGGGAACAGTTGCATGCCATTGGCATCACGCAGGCAGAGGTGCTTAAAGGTACCTCTCACATCCCTCAAAAAATCAAGGGATCATCTCCTGCCTTTATTTTCTTCAGCATCACCTACTCTAGAAAAAAGATGGGTTCGGACACTCTTCTTCACATGATGCCATTCATTATGGAATGAATTTTCTCATCAGGAAAGAGACCTTAGTTGTATTTGTTGTGAGAAGGGGTCTTAAACCATGGAAAGGGACAGTTTGGTAGCTCACCTGTCTGGCAGGTAGATAATCAGCAAGAACAAACAGGGCAAAGTCGCTTCATGCAAAGTTGTCCATGGCCCACTGGATGCAGAGTCAATGATGTTGCAGAGCTCATGGCATCTTCCCCCAGCCAGGAAGAGTCATCCTCAAGTCGCAGGGACCCTGCATATGAGGCGTGAGAGAACTGGAGGGAGGGGAAGGTTGGTCTCCTGTCCCACATGGAGATAGCTGCTGCTGAGAAAAACTGCCTTGCTTATCCCCCTGGCTGCAGCCAACCTCCAACTCAGGGCAGGGAGGAAAAATGTCATGGAAAATGGCCATTAGAGGGGGTTTATTCCCCCTCTCTGCAGGTGGATGGTTCCCGTGGACCCTATGGGAAAGAGGTGATGGGGCAGGGATTTCTTGTTTCCCTCCTGAGTGGGGATACAGGGTGCTGGGTACCAAGTGGTAGGGAGTGAGAAACCAGGGGTCCTCCTAGTGCTGTGATGGAGAGAAGACAACGGAGTCCCATAGGGCACTGAGAGGAGCCTCACAGTTTGCTCAGCTCACACCCCAAATGCAGCTGCCTCTTGGCAGCCTCTGTGGGGAGAATGAGAGAGTGCTTGACTCCGGGAAGACAGTGGGTGGTGGGGCTCACATCTTCCTGCATACCCATAGGGTCTGGGTGAGCAGAAGAGTGTCTGACCCACCACTCCCAACTGGGGCAAGAAAGGGAACGAACCCAGAAGGAATGTCAGTAACTCACAAGGCTCTGAACTGGTGTTTGTCTCACTGCTCACCATCCTCACCAGGGGCTGCTGCCACCTGCCAGTCAGGAGCTGGGTCTCATTCTTCCCTTGTTGCAAGAGCTGTGGGTGCCTCAGCTGCAGACAGGGACATCCTCTAAGGCGTGTGTACCAGCCACACAGTTTCTGCAATCTGTGGTCTCAGTGTCTTTGCACATCTAAATAGCAAGCAAGGGTTTTTCCTCTTCATTCTTCCTTTCTCCAGCTCTGTCTTTTTGTCTTCTTTGGTCTTGCTTCTTCTTGCTGAACTCTCTTTCCCAATAGCACCCTTTCCCTGTTTCCAGCCCCCTCTCACAGCATTGGCATCTTGCATATCCTTTTCCAAGCCTCTTCTGTCCATGTGTCATCTCTCCTCTTCTGCAATGAAGAGGTAGATGCAGAAAAGCAAGCTGTGGAAAATATACCTCTACTGCAGCAGAAAAAAGTGTGATGCTTTCTCTTCAGTTGAGGTGAGAAGACAGGCAGACAGGAAGGAGAAGAGACCATCCCCATTTGAGAAATCTTTGAGGTGGCATATCTCTTCCTCTTCAGCTAACATTGCAGAAGTAGTCTTTCTAAATGCAAGTTTTCCTCATGACTGGTCCCTGGGGAAATGCTCATATAGTAGCTTTCCACCCACTCTCCTCAGCATTTATTTCTGTGGGTGAAGTGCTCCAGGTCCATAAAAAGGAACAGTTCTCTGCAGATGAAGGATCTACCAGTAAAGATGGTTCATGAGCTGGAGACCTTGCTAATGTCTCCTGTGACACATCAGCGAAATGCTTTCTTTGGGCCTCAGTCCCCAATGTGCAAAGGTGGAAGGATGTTACTTCTCCATTATAGAGGCACGTTGGGAGGGCAATTGGTAAAAGTGGGTGGGAAGCAGAGATATCCCACCGTGCTAAGTGCCCCCACCTCTGCACCGCTCCCAAGGGCGATGGGAAATGTATCCTGCTCCGGGCTGGGTGCTTGGTGAGGAAGGTAGATCATTGCAGAGGGAGGCAGGGGAACATGCTCAGGAAGGGTTCAACAAGGGGTCCATGTTATCAGGACACCTCCACCACCAAGGTTGGATAACTGATATTGCTGGGTAGGGATTTTGCTAGATGATACTCATCCCCTGCAGCCATGGCAAGGGAGGAGTAAGAGGGGAGATCCCGTCTGCACCAGAGGAACAGCAGGATCCCCAGCACGAGAGCCAAGGCCAGCTTTTGTCCCCTGCCCAGCTCAGGGGCACAGCACTGGTATTGTCCCAGGACTGCCTGGGAAAATGGGAGGGGTTCCCCGTGAAATCTTTCTATACAGTAAAACAGCGTCAGAGCTGAGGAGCGAGGGGGGGGACGACACAGACATTCAAAAAAATACACACACCCCCCAGCCAAACAATACCCGCAGTGTGCTGAGGGAAGGGGAGACCCATGAATTGGGAGTTTGATAAGGATTTTCTCCCGCGCGTGCCCAGTCTCTCAACAGCCCCTTCAGTTTTCCCAACACCCCCCCCTTCCCTTGCCGGCTTTCTTGTTTGGGCCTTAAACAGTGTGCGGTCTTTGTTCGGGATACAGGTGAACGACAATCATGTGATTAACACACACTCACACACACACAGGCGCACATAAAAAGCTTTTTAAGAGCGTCCAGCTTGCTCCAGACCCGAAGACGGGAGAGGAGACCCGGGCTAGCAGGAGCTGAGGT